ACAGGACCAGGGGCCAGTGTTCACGTCCCGCCTGAGAGACTCTTGGATCCAGTGGCACAAATTGCACAAGCAAAGCCTCACTGGGTCCTGAGTGGAAATGAGTGAGTCAATCTGAGGGGTGGCCAGGGCAGGTGTCGACCATGAGATGGTCACCAAGCAGCAGATCCACATTGTCATGGAGAAACGCAGCAAGAATATCACCCAGAAATGCCCCTAAGAAAAGGTGTCTGTAGGACCCTCGTTATTAGCTCTCTTCATTTTTGTTTTTTGCTCCTTAATTTTCTAGATTATTCGAAGTATCAAGATAAGCATGTGAAATGACTGAACCTTAAGATGTTTCCATTCTCCTGTGAATTATAACTTGAACTTATTCCTAATGTTTGATACCCTAGTTAAAAACAAGTAAAGTATTCTGCCTCAGCATGACTTTTCATATCATCCTTCATGTGGACAAGTTTTCTAGTCCACACCACAGGGCCTTGCAAAAGGACCACATGAATAAAGCAATAAAATTTGACTGTTATGCAACAGTAGACTTTACTTATTCATCCAATAAAGAGTAAGTTTTTCTCTCGTTGTTAAAACCATATGCAGTATGATTGATTAGATCAAATCTGTAAAAATAGGGTCTAGATTTTGTTAACCCTAATGTGTAACTACAATTATCTTAATTTAAAATTTGGAATCTGGTTTTTAGATAGCTAGGCACTTTATTATTACTATCTCTTAAAACTTCCCATATAGGATCATGTAACTGTTCTGTAATAGGGCTTATAAATGGAACTATACCATTAGCCTAGTTACCACAGTCCCTATCATCTTAAGTATTTTTAAAGGTTTCTAAATGCCTAATGTAAAGGAAGATGCTTAGAGCCACAGCATCTGTTTTAACAAAATCATTTCTATTCTACTACCTTGGATTTTGCATGAGTGAATATACTAAGCTAAGATGCCATAAAAAAATAAAACAAACTTGATTGAGCATTTTGTAATTTAGTCATTGCAGATTCACTCAAAGCTACTGAACATTTGTTTATATATGTCATCGAATTCACCAGAATTAATTTATCAAAAGTGTTTACTATGCTAGACAAAATTTTAGGGAAAAAATACTACTAGAAATAAATGCCTTATCAGGACATGCTATTGAGTCCAATAAGACATCTTAGCATGTTAATAGCACTTTTAATACCAAAAAAGGCACATCTACAAAATTAAAAGTTACACTTAGTTTAGAGATGCTTTGTTTCTATTTATGATTAAAATGTTATTAAGTTCTAGATAATCAGGCTAGAATAACATCTAGAATTAAATGGATTTACTGATAAGGATCCGTATTCGGTCTTTCTTGTCTAATTTTATTGGTTATAATTAACTAGTTTTTCTTTTTACTAATAGTAGGGGTAGTAAGAGTGGTTTAAGGCAGGTTTTGGGATTTCAAGTACTTTTGTAAAACTGCAAGTATTCGTTATTCATAATATAATTCAATTAATTAATATGTAGGCACCTGAGAGGTGCCTACATATTAATTAATTGAAAAGAAAGCTGCTTCTCTTTGCTTTGTTAATTGCTTCAGGTCATCTTTTTAAAATAAGCTGTTTTAAGAGGAACAGAAGTGAAATCTACCTAGTGGATACACAGTATGAACCTCATAGAGAGCTAATACCCCTGAGTATGGGGGAAGTAAGGGAGAGGAGTGGTTAAGAAAGTTTAGGACCTTGACTCCTCAGGTTGGCTAAGCTGCTCCTAATGAAGGAATAGGAAAGGAATCAGCTGACCTTAGGTTAACAGGTTTTTTTAACTGCCTTGTTAGCTGCCTTTCTCACAAATAAATCAACTCTTATACTTGATTCCTACCTTGAAACAGTTGTCTTGATTAACTAATTCTATTTTACTTTTATAACTATAAAAATGAAAGTTAATTGCTATAAGTTCATAGCAGGTGCCTTAATTTTTGCTTTGAGTCAAACTGTTCCATATCACAATTTCTCTTTATTTGCTATTTAAAAATTGGCTTTAAAATGTTAGGTTGGTTCTATTTTAATGCATAATGTCTTGATTGATTTGACTGTTAAGTTGCTATAGATGGCAATCTTTACACATGCAAAGTTACAATCCCTTTGTATTTCATACGTGATTTTCCAGTTGAGTATGTTTGGGTAAATGAAAGTTATGACTTCACTTGATTTGTCCTTAAAAAATAAAGCTCCTTGAATATTTGATTCATTTCTTCTAAATAAAAAAAGACAGGCGAGAAAGTAAAGATCAAAATGGATATCAGAAGAGCCTCTGAAACTTGTTCTTCAGTAGAGAGATGCTAAAGCAAATAAATGAAAGAAATAAGGAAGTAAAAGAGCTGAACAGAAATTTTCAAAGGGCAACTCAGAAGACCAAGTCAAGTATTATAAGGAAATGTGCAAAGAGGAAGGAAGAACATGCTCAACATTCCTCAAGTTGAAAGAACTAAAGAAAAATTTAAAGCCTCAATTTGCAATACTGAAGGACTCTATGGGCAAAATACAGAATACAAAAATCATCAAAAGAAAATAGAATGAATACACAGTCACTGAACTAAAAAGAAATAAATGATGTTCAACTATTTAAACAGTATATGCCTACATGCTTTCCTGAGTATGTTTAGTTTCAGAACAAGGGGAGTAAGGTAGAATCCCCACTGAATAGTTTTGCTCTTTTTCAGAAGCATCTGGAAATGATGGTGATAGGAATTTATGATTCAATTGTGAGTAATTGTTATCAGGATTAATTATGATCCTCACAACTTTAATTGTAGACAATGTGTTACTAAAAGGGGTGGGTAATCTTTCGTTTCAGGAAGAGTGGACCCCAGGACCATCAGGAAGGAAGAATATGAGTTGACCATGAGATCCTACCCAGAAGAGCAGCAATAGCAGAGAGTGTGGCAGAGGCAATGGCATAGAGAAAATAGAGCAGCTGAGGACTCTAGGCCCATGGACTAAGAAAGGCTGGGTACATGCAGGCAGGAGGCTGCCTTGCAAAATGTGCCCTTTGGACATTTAAATGAATATTTATTTTTTGTATTGTATGTGTACATCACATATTTTGCTTTGTTCCTTTGTGAAAAAGATGTAAAAGGGAAGCCACATGGTGGAAGCAAGGTAACTATTGTTACGGGGAGGGGAATGTAATCAATGAAAATGAAATGAAACAAAATGTATGACTGGTTGAAACTAAAAAAAAAAAATCTTCACTCAAATCCTAATAAATATTTAAGAAAAATAATAAATAAAGAACATATGAGCAAGAGCCAATGGTACTGAAGGAAGAAGTCCAGGTGCACTGAAATCATTGACAAAGAGCAAGGCTCTGGGAACTGATGGAATACAAATTGAAATCTTTCAACAAACTGATGCAGCACTGGAGTCACTCAATCATATATGACAAGAATTTTTAAAGACAGCTACCTGGCCAACTGGAAAAGACCCGTATTTGCGCCCATTCCAAGAGGTGGTCCAATCAAATAATATCATTAATATTACATCCAAGTAAAATTCTGCTACAAGTAATCAAAAAATGATGACAACAGTACTACAGGAAATTGACAGAAGTTCACATTGGATTCAGACAAGGATGTGGAAAAATGGGTTTCAATGCTGATGTCGGATGGAACTTGGCTGAAATCAGAGAATACCGGAAAGATGTTTGTTTGCCTGTGCTTTATTAACAATGCAAAGGTTTGCAACTATGTGGATCATGACAAGCTATGGAACTTTGCAGTGAATGAGTATTTGCGAAGAATAGGTATTCCTTAACATTTTATTGCGCTCATGAGGAACCTGTACATAAACCAAGAGGCAGTCATTCAAACAGAACAAGGGGACACAAAATGGTTTTAAATCAGGAAAGGTATGTATCAGGGTTTTATTCTTTCACCATCTTTCTGGTATTCAACTTGTATGCTGACCAAATAATCCAAGTAGCTGGATTATATGAAGAAGACCATGACATCAGGATTGGCAGAAGACTCATTAGCAACCTGCGATATGCAGATGATACAACACTGTTTGCTGAAAGAGGACTTGAAATACTTACTAATGAAGATCAAAGACCACAGACTTCAGTATAGGTTGCACCAAAATGTAAAGAAAACAAATATTCTCACAACTGGAATAATACATAACAACATGATAAAAGAAGAAAAGACTGAAGTTGTCAAAGACTTCATTTTGCTTGGATCCACTATCAAAACTTATGGAAGTAGCAGTCACGAAATCAAATAACGTATTGCTTAATGCAAATCTATTGCACAAGACGTATTTAAAATCTTTAAGAGCAAAGATGTCAGTTTGAGAACAAAGGTGCACCTGACCCAAGCTGTGGTGTTTTCAACCGCCTCATATGCATGTGAAAGTTGGACAAGGATTAAAGAAGAATGTAGAAGAATTGGTGCATTTGACTTAGGTGTTTGAGATGAATTTTAAAAGTACCACAGACTTATAGAACAAAAAACAAATCTCTACTGGAAGAAGTACAGGCAAAATACTAGAAGCCAGGATGATGAGACTTCATCTCTCCTGCTTTGGATGTGTTATCCAGAAGGACCAATCCCTGGAGAAGGACATTATGCTAGTTATAGTGGAGGGTCAGCAAAAAACAGGACGATCCCAACCAGATGGAACTGTCACAGTGGCATCAGCAAAGGGCTCAAGCATGACAAGTGTGAAGATGATGCAGGATTGGGTAGTGTTTCATTCTGTTGTGCACAGATTCACTATGAGTTGTAACCTACTCGACAGCACCTAACAACATCTAGTGAGCTACACTGTAACAAGGTCAGACTTCTATAACTTATTCATAAGTATATAATGAAAATTCTGTCAAGTTCAAATATACTAAATCTCCCACATTTCTGTCTTTTCAGATTTTTTTCCTTTTAATTTTAGTGATGCAAAAGCTTCAATTCTGCTGTGTATGCTTGTACTAAAATAATTTAGGTTGTAGTGAAAAAATGTCAAACTTACCCCTTTCATCCAATAAGAGATTTTCTGGCTTAATATCACGATGGGTTATTCCAATACCATGAAGATAAATCTAAGGAAAAGCGAAGGAGGAAACAGCAGAATTTAGTAACTTACTCCATTTGTACTAATTTTAAGTAAAAGGGAAAGTGTCAACTGTACCTACCACCCCTGCCATTAGTTGATGGAAGAATCTCTGAGCATCTTGTTCAGGCATGCCTATGTCTGGCTCTGAAACAATTATAAAAGTTAGTTTCCTGTATAAATATAATCAAAGCAGGAACCACATAATTAACTCTTAATTTTAAGTATCTGTTTATCATTATACTTTAGCAAATCAGTTTAAGTTAGCAATTAAAAGACTAAGGAATGCACTTATAAAAATGGTACTTAATAACTCATCATTTTCTCATCTGTTAAATGTTGAAAATGAACTAAAACTTCACAGGAAAAGTACAAAGATTTTAAAAAAAAGTAAACTATGGTTTATTCTTATAATAACCCTGATTTACCTCATACCCAACCTTCAACTTCTCCCCTAATGTCTTTTAAATGATCTATCATTATTTTTTCACTCCTGAAATAAAACTGTCAAAGTGCAAGTCTAAAACAATTTCAGTAACTTAAACAACAGATATGAACTTCAACCAATCTCTTACATTACAAAGTCAAGAATGCCTATGAAATTCCTTGAGGAGATCATTTTAATAAGAAATACTCTGTGCCAGCATCTAAATATTTTCTACCTCATTAACTCTTAATATCCTTTATTCTCAAATCTTTTCTGCAATATATATAAGGGGCTTAAAAAAGTTTGTAGGAAAAAAAGTTTATTAAACAATGGAATTTTAACATAATTTTTGTTTAGCTCCTTCATATTTTAGCTGCCAGTAATTTGTTTTTAACTAATCAACACAGAACACTGAAGTACCAAACAGATTAATTATTATTTTTAAATCATACGAAATTCACAATTTTACTTATGCAAACAAAGAAATGAAACAAAGTATTATTCTTTTGGATGTAAAAATATATGCAAATATTTCATGTAACTAAAATGTCTACATAGGTAAACAGTATATTGCAATTATGTTACTTCATTATGAAATTATAGGTTATCATTTCTAAACAATACAAAAGCAAGTCCAATAAATCACATATATAATTTGGGGGAAAAATGTTTTCTTTCAGTGGCTATATGTTATTCTGTGTTAATTCAAGTTACAAAAAGAAAGAAAATTAACTCCAATTTTACTGAATTTCAATTTCAATTTCAATTCTGAACAGTCAATGACCCAATATCAGACCCAAGATTAAAAAGCAAATTCAGAAACCTGTTAAGTAGAATAATTGTCTTAAATCTTTAGAATGCTGACTTGGAACATGTCTTTTTTTCCATACCTATTCTATCAAAAAGTTCTCCCCCACTACAGTACTCCAGAAACAGATACTGGATATTGCCTTCTCTTCTATGGCCATAGAATTTCACTACATTCTCATGATTTAGCATTTTGTTGATACAGATCTCTTTCTTAATATTTTCTGGACAATCTATGGCACGCTTCATGTCCACAATCTTCACTGCAACTGCTTCTTCAGTTCTTCTATTCACAGCAAGTTGAACTCTACCAAGAAAAAAGAAGTGTCATAATACTCTAGACATTCTATTTCTTTTAAATTTTTTAAATTATTTACCTTTATTACTTTACCACCAAAAAGAAAGCATGGAAGTGATTCCTGCCATTTTCCCCACAGATACTATTGCTTTCTGAAATGTGAAGCATGACAGTGAATGCTCCAACATCATTATGTTGTAGACAGTCATTTAATAAATGTTTGATTAAATAAGTTAAATTTGGATAATAAGTAAGTCCAGCTCATGTCACCTGCATAACATGTTATTCCTTTAATTTTAGTTGGTACTAATATTATCTAGCATTTATTAATTCCATATACTATATGCCTATGAAGGAATCCTGGTGTGGTGCTGTGGGATAAACCCTAGTTCAAATATACCAGCTGCTTCTCAGAAATTCAGGGACACTATGAGTCAGAACCAATTAAAGGTACTTAACAACAATAATATGCCTATCAAAGGAGCCCTAGTGTTTCAGAGTTCTGGTGTGTTGGTATAGGATAACGTAAGGTCAGCTGTTCCAACCCACCAGTGGCTCCTCGGAAACCCTATAGAGTCACTATGAGTCAGAACTGAGTTGATGGCACTTAACAACAAATGTACAGTGGGATAAGCGTTGGATTGCTAACCACAAAGTTGTCAGCTCAAAAACACCAGTCACTCTATGAGAGAAAGATGGGTAAAGACTTACAGTCTCGGAAACCCTATAGAGCTGTTCTACTGTGCCCTATAGGGTCACTATGTGTTGGAATTGATAGTTCTAAGTACCTATGGGGAAGGGATTATTATTGCCATCTTGTTATTGTTCTTGTTCTGTGTCATCAAAGCAGCTCCAATTCATAGGGTCCCTACGTACAACAGAATGAAATACTGCCTGATCCTGCACCATCCTCACAACCTTACAGATAAGAAAATAAAGCAACAAAAAAGTTGCCTATGATCACAAAACAAGAAACGTAAATACATACTACTAAGTAAAGTGAAGATGAAATAGAAGAATTCTACCAACTTCTTCAGTCTGAAATCGATCAAACATGCAATCAAGATGTATTGCTCATTACTTGTGACTGGAATGCAAAAGTAGGGAGCAAAGAGGAGGGACCAGTAGTTGGAAAATTTGGACTTGGTGATAGAAATGATGCTGGAGAACGAATGA